AGTGTCACTGTGTCACCTTCTTAACTATGGAAGAAGCTCAGTGTTTTTATCCAGCTATGCGTAAAAGCATAGGCTTTGGAGCCAGACTAATTGTGGGCTAAAGTGTTGGTCCCACTGTACAAATGTGGTATAATTCAAATTGCTGGTGTTTATTCAAATCAAATGATTTTGTTTTATATATGAGAGGTGGCCAGCCTTACCAAATTACATAATATATGATTGTGTTACACAATTTTTAAATTTTATTATATTACATGATATATTTTCTTCTATGAACATTTTAAGAACATTGGAGGTACAATTTTCCTCAAATCACTTCACTCTTAGTTTTTCACCCACCTATACAGTCCTTTGTCTTCTTAATACTGAGATTTCCAAAAAGTCTGCCCTCTAGGTCAACCTCACAACCCAGGGCAGGAAGCTGAGGCCTTGCAGAAGGATGGGCAGCTGCATAAGGAAGAAAGCTGGGCAAAAGTGAGACCCTGCTTCCTGTCCCTGGCCTCCTGTCACTGACTTGATGAGGTTGCTATGCCAGTCTTTCCACATTTTGTACTTCTATCCCTCCTTCATGATGTTATTCCTATGTTTCCTTTTCCCCAGATGCTGTCACAACTTTGAGATATGTCCAATCTCTGATTGCCTATTTTGCCCAGACATGTATATTAGAGTTCCCGTTCATGGGAACCTCTGAGGTCACTTAATGGGTGGGTCTACAGGGAAGCATATTACTGAGAAACCTTGCCCTTAACTGAAAGGGCCAAATGAGGTCTTGTTCATCATGGGCACAATGCTTGAAAGGCCCTCAGTAAATTTCAGGTGCAACTGAATATGCCCTTCCTCCCACTAGAGAAAGGGCCATAATAGGAAATCTGAGGAGAGGAGGGAAGGGGTCCTTGTGTGGTGGCAGGATATCCAAAGACTTAAGATACCAAAATAGAGGCAAATCCTCTCTTCAGCCAGTGTAACAAGAAACCAAAATGACCAGACATTAAAACACACTTATGGTACCTCTAGGACAAGCTCTGAAGCCCGACTGTGAGCCTGCTCATTTTGTTTTGGCCAGCAAGGTATTCTAGAAGAAATTGAATTAGAATACCTTCAAGTAAGGCAAGTACTGTCTGGTCCAACAATTCCTACTTGTCCATATCTGCCACTACTTTGTCACTTTACATTTGAACTTCTACACCAAGTCCAACCTGATTTCATTATCTTGATTTTCTCTATTCACACTCCCAAGGAGGAACTACAGCTCTGTATGAAAACTCAGCAATTTCTATGGGAAAAGGTTGTTTTGTTCTTCAGACTATGGGAGACTAGGGGATCCAGGCTCAATTTCATCGATTTAATCCAAGAATTATTATTTTTTTTTTTTTGTCAATGGAACAGATTTTGTCTTTCATATGCCTATCTTTAGAAAGGCTGATTTTGGCAAATGGTAGTATGTGAATTCAAAGGCGGTGCATGTTTAGTAATGAAAGAATGCTTTGGACAAAATTTAACTCCTGCATCATACTTCGGTTTAACAGCACTACAGCATTTCTGTTTATTCTTTTTTTTTTCTAATCTAAAATAACATCGTAGAATCTTACCAGGTTAGTAATTACAACTGTATTACATTCATGAAGGGAGAACTTTTCTGATACACTTGTCTGGACGGAAAGCCCAAGTGTTAGGAGGATAAGAGCATAGAAAAAAAATATTGATTAATTTGATAAAAGTTCATGTTTGGGATAATTTTGTTACTGTTCTTTGTGCTGGACAGTACTATGCGTCATGCAATTCACCGAATCAATATGTCTGCGTTTGGGAATAGATCTTTTTATTTCATATGAGTGTCATCCAGTTTATAGAAATGTTATCTATTCACTCATAAGTGACTGATGTCACTTATTTGTATGAATACAAAAATTAAGGATAAATTAAGAAGTAAATAATATTGAAAACTTACTCTATGTAAGATAAGGTACATAATTGTAAAATATTAGTATTCTCAACCTTGTAATATACCATCCTTGGCTTCATTCCTTGCCTTATACACATTCCATGAGAACTTAACTGGCTATTTTATTGACAAAATCTCTTGTCAATCTGCAAAGTAGTGTTAATTCACCTGCTGTTATTAATTCATCTTCTAACTCTTCTCGATCATCAATATGTCCCAAGTTCCATATCCATCAAGGAAATGGTTTTTACCTCCAGAGACATTCAATCAGTGTAGACTGGTTTCCAATTTCAACTGTGTACAAGGGCAAATTTACTTTTAACAAATGTATATTCAAAAATTTAAAAGCAAAACAAATTGCTCCTGGCAAGTTCAGACTCCCTCCAGGCAAGGGCAGCATGAAAATGGCAGGGAGAAGCACTAAGTCATTTGTGACTAAAGCACGGACTAACCGGATTGTACCAAATTGAACCAAGTAACAAATTAGAAATACAGAGGGTATACTGGCCTCCCCATTTTTATTCCTTCTCACTCCAGGCACCAGAGAAAGGGAAATGACTAAATCTCGATTTTAATAGCTGCTGTCAAGAGTTTTGCTCTGTAGGGCCTATTTCAGCAGTTCCTGGTGGTAATATATGGCATTTCTCTGATTAACAGCCATTTTATAACTTGTGTAATTGGCCACAAATCAGGGGAATGTCATAATGTAGCAAGAAAACATTCCCATCTCCGTCAGAGCCTTGGCTTGGATTTTTGGAGAAATTATTACAGGAGTAGTTTGTGGGTTTTCATTACTTTAAATAATGTACTACCTGAAGTACAAAAAAAGACATTTAAACTAATGAACATTTCTGTCTCCTAGCCCTTTCTACTATGCCTGTCTTTAGACTTCTTTTTTGTTTTTAGGAAAAAAAATACTCTAAAGATTGAATTATTTCTTCATTTTTATAACACCAGTATTTTTAGGAAAACAGAGGGAAGGGCAGGGTTGGGAGTGAGGTGCGGTGACTCAGGCATTCATCTCAGGAGTAAAATTTAAAGGGGCACTTTAATCAAATGAAAAATATTTTGATGTAATATTTTAAAAATTAAAACTAATTCAAAGAAGATCTATGATACACAAAATATTAAACTTTGAAATCAAAAAGGATCTGACCCCCCACTTGCATGACCTAACCTCACTCACTTCACCTTAATCCTAGCTCTGAGCAAAGGTATTGGATGGGAAAGAGTGGCCACAAAGTAATGAGGTCAATTCAACTTGTCTAAAAGGAAAATAGGTTTGGATTCTATTGTTACTCTTCAGGTTAGGATAAGAGCAAGTCCTACATAGAACTACACAGAACTATGTTTATAGAGGTTTCTTTCACCTGTGACACACAGTCCAAATTATACAGTACCATGTATAATGCAGGCAGGAGTTGTAATTTCCTACTGGCCTCTATTAGAGACAATGGACAATTAGTTTAAAGCATGACAAATGTAAATGCTTATAAAACCTCTTTTGTTTCGAAGGTTAGTAAAGATGAGTACCATTCTTCTTAAACATTTTTTTTTGAATATATGTTTATTTCCTGATTTGAGCTAGTCACGGTGATATTATACACCAGAAATGCAAAGTTAAGAAGAAGAGAGCGTGTCTGTCCTCAAGAAGATGGGATATAAGTACAAGGTTGCTGTGGGCTGACAAGTCTATAATAAAGGTAGGCAGTGAGAAGGGGCATGTAGCTCAGATGGAGTGTCTAGTTGCCTGGAAATGATGACATTTGAGCTTAATTTTGAAGCTCTGCTGGAAGATAATTAAATGAAAAAGAACGAAAGGTGGTGAAGCATTCCAAAGAGAAGGATCGATACTCTGAAATATGGAGGCTTGGAATGGTAGTATATTTTGGAAGGACTGTGAGTATTTCAGTAAGGTTGGGGACATACATGCAAGCCAGAAAATGGTAAGGAATGAGATGGCAGAGAGAAACGGGAGGCAACTGAAATAAAAAAAAAACAACAGGAGATATTTGAATGAAATAATAAATATAATAGCTTACCTAGAGAGCAGCTATATTGAGTAATACATTTTTAATGCAAAGCCCATAATGTACCGAAGTAGATATTTTATGTACTTTGATGACTGAATTAGGAATAAAACACAAGAAAAATGTACTTAAAAAGCATAAAAATTTTCGGGAAATGTGACCACTATCAAATTGAAAGTTTCATAAGGACATTTGTATGATGTCTAATTCATTCCTTTGTGACTATTATTTCTGAAGCCAAAACAAGTGGGATTTAGTACTCTTAAACACTTGTTATGCTTTAATTTAAAAGTCACTACTCTGGGGCGTCTGGGTAGCTCAGTCAGTTAAGCTCAGTCAGTTGATCTCAGCTCAGGTCATGATCTTATAGTCATGAGATCGAGTCCCATGTGGGGCTCTGTGCTGAGTGTGGAGCCTGCTTGGAATTTTCTCTCTCTCTTTCTCTCTCCTTCCCTCCCTCTCCCTCTGCCCCTCTCTTGCTCACACACTCTTTCCTTCCTTTCTCTCTCTCTAAAAAATGATAAATTAATTTTAAAAAAGTTACTATACTTTAGATATAGGCAATATGATGTTATGTAAATTAGGTTAAAAATTATGAAATATTGCCCAGTGCAAAATGAGATATGATGTCAAAATACTGAAAAGCTGAATTAAATCCAGATAATAAAAATAATCATAAAAATCATGGTGAAATAATTTCACTTTTCCAATAGTGTGACAAAATATCCTACCAATTAGAAATATAAGTATTTCTTGGGTTGGCTCTTGGGTTGGCTCAGTGGGTTAAGCGGCTGACTCTTGATTTTGGTTCAGGTCATGATCTCATGGTTTTTGAGGTAGAACCTGGCATTGTGCTCTGTGCTGACAGCATAGAGCCTGTTTGGGATTCTCTCTCCCTCTCTCTCTTTGTGTCCCCTCCCCCCACTCACACGTGTGTGCGTGCGCTCTCTCTCTCTCTCTCAAAATAAACATTAAAAAAACAAACTACAATTAATCTGAAAATAATAATAAAGAGAGGTCATACTAACCTTTGACATCGTTTGCTAACTTCTTGGCTTCATTAAGAACCCCAAAGCTTTTCTGAAGAGAACCTTTGGCACCTTCCTTTAATGAACCCTGAGGACCTGTTGCCTGTGGACAGAGAAAGAGTGTCACATATCAACAACCACAGAATTATGGAGAAGACATATCTGGCCGGCAGCAGTATACAGATTTACTTCCAGGGAGGCCTTCTGGGCTACAGAATTATAAATTAGCACATATTGGTGATTAAAGTCAGGAGGCTATCTATTGGGAGAGGAGAAGAAGAGCTAGAACAGAACCCTCAGGAATCCTAACATGTGAGGGGCAGGTTCAGAAAGTGGAGCTGGCAAGGTACCTGGGATACCAGAGCGAAAAGAGAAACCAGGAGAGCATGATACTATGGAAGTCAAGAGATGCAGAGGTGCCTCAAAGCATGATGGTTGGCAGTGTTGCAAGGATATAATTGGTCAGAATTAAATGCTATACAATAGTTGAGCAGATGAATAACTGAACACATCTATTGACTTAATCCCTAATCACATTTTACTTGAGTTGTGTGGTAAGGGGGGGGGGGGCAGTTCTTATCTCCTTCAAATGAGGAAGAACACCACTCCCTTTAAAAACACATCTCCAAGTTCTACAGCAAAACAAAGTCTTCTAAATAACAATCTCTGAGCTAAAATCATCTCCTAGCAAAGATGTATTTGTTGAGGCTTGACTTAAAAGAGATGACAAAAAGATAGCAGCATGAAATGGGAAAAGGATCGTTTAACCTAGTGTCTAGTTATCTGTCTTAATAGTGTTTGTTCCTTAGCAATCATCACATAATACACATATATCATCACATAATACATTTATACCAAGAGATAAATCAAATAGGATCTTATGTGTAAAGTTTAAATTGGAAAAGTATTTCAGGAAGCAGAAGAGCTAGAGAATGCTAAATATACTTACTGTTGAAGTTATAAAGCTAATTCAGGTTATCCCAGACCTAACACTCTTAAAAGATACCTGCAAGTGCCTCAGTAACGTGTTTTTGTTTGTTTGTTTTTAAATCAGTCACATTATTTGAGCATTAAACTAGGAAAGATCACAGAACTTGATACTGTTGTGGTAAAATTTACTTTCAGGTATTCTCCTAACAAACTTTAATTTAATCTAAATGAATCAGTCAGAGAAAGAGAAATGCCATTATGATTTCATTCATATGTGGAATTTAAGAAACAGAACAGATGAACATAGGGAAAGGAAAACAGAAGAGAGGGCGGCAAACCATAAGAAACTCTTAACTACAGAGAACAAATTGAGGGTTGATGGAGGGATGTTAGCAGGGGATGGGCTAAATGGACAATGGGTATTAAGGAGAGCACTTCATTGTGATGAATCACTAAATTCTACTCCTGAAAATAATATTACACTATTATGTTAACTAAAATTTAAATAAAAACTTGAGGGGCACCGGAGTAGCTCAGTTGGTTGAGTATTTGACTCTTAATTTTGTCTCAGGTCATGATTTCAGGGTTGTGGGATCAAGCTCGGTATCGGGGCTCAGTGTGGAGCTTGCTTAAGATTCTCTCTTTCTCTCCCTCTACCCTTCTCCCCTGCTAGCACTCTCTCTCTCTCTAAAATAAAAAAATATATATATAAAAAATTTAAAAACCCAAACTTGAAACATTGATAAAAATAAAAAAAATAATCTGTTCACAGAACAGGTATCTACAAAAGGACGTATTGGATACATCTATATAAATAAAAAGGGAAATGGCGCATATATATCTAGCACTTGCATAAAGAGATTTCTGATAACCCCAGAAAATTATTCTATGGAAAATGGACAGTCTCTTCAACTGAGAACACAGAAATTCTTAGGCCTATAATTTCTCTTGGGAATTAGATACAGTAACATCACATAGTTTCATTTATTAAAAAAAAAAATAAAAAAGGTAAGTGCATCAACATAAGTGGCACAAATCCAGTATACTTTACTCAAAAAAAAAAAAAACAAAAAAAACAAAAAAAACTAAGTCTTAGTTCTTTACTAAGGTCCTATATTTGTTCCAAACTTACATTCCATTCTTACTCCCTTGGTTACAGGTTTTCTGGATCAAAACAGATCAGAGAAAGGAAATTACAAAAAAAGAAGGATGAAGATTCTCTAAATAGGCACATGAAAACAGCAGAAGTGACAGCTGACAATCTGTCTGACAATAGGAAGGAGAAGTTATCAAGTAGAGAAAAAAATGAAAGGCTCCGAAGTCCAAATCAATTTGGATAGGGATAAAGTAGGTTTCAGTAGCTGCCCGTGTAATTGTAGTAAAATAACCAATGTTGATAATGATGATCCTGAGTCATCCAGATCATATGGGTCACTCATAGCACTAGACAAAAATAGACCAAGATAGAAAGGAAGGAAGGAAAGAAGGAAACAGCTTTCCCTGCAGCCTTGAGATGTGAATGTCTTTCTACAAGAATATAATCTGGCAAGCATTTAACAACCAAAATTTTAAAGCTAATCTTGGATATGCAAAGTGAGGCATGGGGGTAAAGGAAGGAGAGAAAGTTGATATGCTGCACATAAGAAAATTAATGAAATGAGGTAAGAGAAAAGAGGGGAAGAATCAGACAACATGGAAAGAGGCTAAAGTTTGAGCTGTGAGGGACTATGGATAGTGGTGACCAGTCTTCATTTTTTTCTACCCTTACAGATTTCAACAGTTTTATTAAGGGATAAACTTCACATATTTAAAATTTACAGTTTGATAAGTTTTGACATATATACACCCATGAAACCATCAGGACAATCAAGGTAGAGAAACCATCCATTTCCTCTTGATTTCTCCCTTGCACCCCTCCTTGACTTCCTCTCAACTCTACACAAACACTGCTTCTCCTTTCCATCACTGTTCGTTTGCATTTAATAAAATATTACATAAGTGGACTCATCTAGCTTGTTCTTTTTTGTTTGGCTTCTTTCACTCAGCATAATTATTTCAACATTTGTCCATGCTGTGTATCAATGTGATCCTTTTAAAAATTAAATGGATATGCCCTAATCTATTCATTCACCTCTTGTTGGACATTTGGGCTATCTCCAACATTGGCCATTCTAAATTGAGTTTCTAGGAGCATTTGTGTACACGTCTTTACATGAACATATGCATTCATTTCTCCTGGAATGAATACCTAGAAGTGGAGTAGTTAGATGATATGGCGGTATGTTTCAGTTTTTGAGAAACTACTACCCTGTTTTCCAAATTATTCGTGCTACTTTATTTTTTTTTAAATTTTTTTCAACGTTTTTATTTTTATTTTTGGGACAGAGAGAGACAGAGCATGAACGGGGGAGGGGCAGAGAGAGAGGGAGACACAGAATCGGAAACAGTCTCCAGGCTCTGAGCCATCAGCCCAGAGCCCGACGCGGGGCTCGAACTCCCGGACCGCGAGATCGTGACCTGGCTGAAGTCGGATGCTTAACCGACTGCGCCACCCAGGCGCCCCTATTCGTGCTACTTTAAATTCCCACCAGCAGAGTTAAATTTATCTACATCCTTGCTAATAATACTTGATGTAGTCAGTCATTTTAAGTTTTAGACATGCTATGGATGTGTATATCATTTTGGTTTTAATTTGCATTTTCCTTGTGACTAATAATGTTGAACACCTTTTAATATACTTATTCCATCTGTTTAAATCTTTTGCCCATTTTTTTATTGGGTTATTTGTTGTTACTGAGTTTTGAAAGATATCAATGCATAGTTTGAATACAAATCCTTTATCAGATAATATAATTTGCAAATATATATTCCCTTAGTTTGTATCTTAACACATGCTTAGATTTGAATTGTAATAATTTTGTCAAGAATTTTTACATCTATATTTATAAGGGATATTGATATATATATATATATTTGGTAATGTCTTTGTCTCATTTGTACTAGAGTGATACTGGCCTCATGGAATGAGGTGGGACATGGTTTATTCTCTTCAATTCTCTGAAGAATTTATTACTTCTTCCTTAAATGCTTCATGGAATTCACTAGTGAAGTCATTTGGAGCTGAATTGTGTGTGTGTGTGTGTGTGTGTGTGTGTGTGTGTGTGTAAGGTTTTTAAGTACACATTCTATTCTTTAATGGACTTTCAAGTTATTTATTTGTAAATGAATTTTGGTGGTTTGTAATTTTCATGGAATCTGTCCATTTCATTCAAACTGTTGGATTTCTGGCATAAAGTTGTGTATTACTGTCTGAAGAAGTTTTAATGACTTTACCTCTTTATTCCTGATATCAGATACTGATTTTTTTTCTGATCAGTCTGGTTATCAACGTATTTATCTTCCACTGAACCCTAGTACCTTTAGCCAGCAACACGACTGCAACCTGACTGAAGTCCATCTGTTGATAGACTTCCCTGCTACTAATTTCTTATCTTCTTGCATTAATGAATATGACCTCCCTTTTGCTCCAAAGCATCTTGTCTTTCCTGCTTTTCAGGAAGCCAATGATTTCTTCCTGGGTTTTCTGTCAACCACTCCTTGCTCAGGTAAGGAAAAGAAAGGCAAGGAGGCAGGACATTTTGATGTGTGGAGAGCTGGAAAAGTATTTCATTTGCAAAGGCCTGGAGAGTTTATGAAGGGCAGTATGAAGAAGTAAAGCTGTTAGGTTAGGGTCCATTTCTGGAAAGCTTGAATATCAGGCTAAAAACACTGAGCAATAAGCAACGTGGAGTCATTGAAAGTTTCTGAGTAGAGTGTATGGTCAGAGCTTTAGCCCCAGAAGGTGAACTGGGAGGGTTTTTGGGAGAAAAAAGAGACACCGGTTGGCTATTATGATAGTATAGGCTAGAGAAAACGGAATTGTAACCTCAGGCAAGAGCAGTGGAAATGAGAGTTTGGGTTCAAGGGATGTGGAGGAATAAGATAGGTTTCAGTGTTTCAAGAAGCACTCCAAAATATTAAAGTAGAGGACTGATGGCATACAACTGTCAGTTATAAACAGTATATCAACCACCCAGGTTTAAGAGACAAGCCTTCCATATGATAACAGAATGAAAAATACTAACATGCTCTGGATGAACAGAATTGTTTCAACTCATTGGAATTTGAAGAGTT